CAATTGAGCTCCGTACGGCTCCATAAGGCTTCAGATTAATTTATTCTGTCCCACTGAGAGGTCAAATTCCATATAATGGTGTCGAAAACACTCGGTTTCATTCAATAAATATAAACATAATAAAAAATAAAAATAAAATAAGTGCAGTAATATTAACTTTATAACTTGGGCTTTTTAAAACAATTCACAAAAGGAGCACCAATGTGGGCTAATAACTATCRAATGTGATGAATATCCACACCCACAGACTCATCACCATAGCAACAACAATAAACAAACAGACCCAATATTTGACCTTGTGTCAAATGTGTTTGAAGTTTGAATGTGTGTTTTATCGTTTGACCCTGTAATCGTTAGATCTGAACCAACTCTAATTTTACGTCTGCATTTTAATCCATGCCAAGACGGAAAGTACCTGAAGCACACAGATGTTGATTTTTCTATCCCTGTGGGRACCTTGCATTGATTTCCATTCATTTTCCAGTCATTTCTATAGGTTAACCCTGACCCTTTACCCTAAAACYRACCACTCTAGTATATAATTGGCCCTAAASCTCGCTTAAACTAAATTCACACCWTGGTCCTAAACCTAACCACCCACCCAAAATCATCATCCGTACCCACAGGGAAACAGGCTTTGATCATCATGAGGAGAACCGGGTTCCCACAAGGCTGAGTTTTTCTGGAAAATGGCCCCCACGATGTAGCAAAAACATGTCCACGCACCCACACACACATTCCTGTTCTAACCACACACACTTGCTCTGTGTGTGTCTAATGGAGCTACCTTCAAGCGATACTCAAACGCTGATGTTAGTTATTTTATTTACCGCTAATCTTTTTTTTTACGTGATACACTGTCTGCCCAAAAACAAAAAAAAGTCTCTATCTGGGTTTAACGAAGGTCTGTGATGTGGGGTTGCTGCATTTGGTCTACTGAGAATCTTTGGGATGTGCTGGAGAAGGTCAGACTGTACCAACATCAGTGCAAGATCTGGGTGAAACATTAATGAAGCACTGCATGGAAATAAATCTTGGAATATTGCAGAAGCTTATCGAAACAATGCCACAACAAATGCACGCCGTAATCAACCAACAAAATATTAGTGTGACCTTTTTTTTTTGGTGGCAACTTTTTTTTAAATTTATTTTGGCCAGGCAGTGTATTTTTGAGTATTTGACAATGTCTACATTACACAAGTATCATCAGCAAATAGTAAAACTATGAACTACCAAGTAGATTTACTTTGTGTGTGTTTCAAATGACAGTTATTGAGGGATATAGTTTATTTGTCACAAAATATATGAGAACGTTTTAATCAGTGTTCTTGAAGACGACACAATGCAAAAGCCACTTTTTTAGCTGTTAAGTGAATTTTGTTGTATACTTTGTGTCTCTAGGAATGCAGAAAATTTTAATTTAGTCTCTCCTGGTGCTGTAAAGATATCTATAGCTGTGTCCAAAACGGCAGGACGGGTCCTCCGAAGGCCGAATTCGTCGGCCACATACGTCACAGCGC